GAGCCCTTTTGGACAAGCTTTGGGCTGTTCACCACAAGGTTGGCAGTTCAAACCCACCCACCACTCCGCAGGAGAAAGATGATGCTTTTTGCTCCTCTTGGAAACGCAGTGGGGCTGTTCTGTTGTGCCCTACAGGGTCACTGTGTGTCACAATCCCTCGATGGCAGGTACTGGCGGATGGTTGAAATGTGCACAATGTCGCTGTTGGATCGAGACAGCTGTCCAACAGGAACTACAAAAGAATTGTTAGGTGCCATCCAGTGGGTTGTGACTCAGTGACCCCATGTCCCACAGAATGAATTACTGCCCTGTCCTGCGCCATCCTCACTGTTTTGCTGTGCTTGAGCCCATAGTTGCAGCCACTGAGGGTCTTCCTCTTTTCATACTGAGCCTCAACTTTATGGAGCATGGGGACTGGCCATTCCTGATAACAAAAGAGTAAGGCGGGATATTTACATAGGGCCTTTGTGGTTGAGGTAAGCTTTATTGAAGACTTGGAGGGAGAAGAGGAATTTATATTAACAATGCCACTATTGATAATTGAGCATTAGGCATTTCTGCCCTTAAAATACATTTGTATCACTCATCCCAGGAGCTCCCAGCTCTGAGATCTGACTGGCTCTCCCCTGCCCCTTTCTTTCCTTCTCTGCCCTTCTTTCTCATTGCCTCCAGACTCCAAATCTTCTTTGTCATATAAATCAAAACAAAAAACACCCCAACTGACTCATCAGAACACTACAGGGCAGAGTACAACTGTTCCTTAGGGCTTCCAAGCAAACTGCCTCATCTTCCTCCTGAGAAGTGACAGGGTGGGCACGAACCGACAACCTTTTGGTTAGCAGCCCAATGCTTAACCCACTCAGCCTCCATTGTGTTGATTATACCTGCCATGGTTGATTACAACTGCTGTTGTGTTGATTATACCTCATAGTAACAAACTTCACTTCGGGCCCACCCTCCCAGTTCCAAATACAACAAGATTTCTAAGGCGAATAAAAGGGTTCCTTTCCATGTAACCCTTGCCCAAGGAAGCTGATTGTGAAAAGAAAAATTACATATATCTTCCATATAGAATTACAGCTGTAGGAGGTGTGTTGTTGTTGTTGTTAAGTGCCATCGAGTTGATTCCAACCCCTAGCGACCCTGTATAGGGTTTCCAAGGAGCAGCAGGTGAGCTTGAACCACTGACCCTGCAGTTCAGACAACTTTGCAATCTGGCACATTAGCCCACAGCGCCACACCAGGACTCCAATCAGCTCATAACTATTGATAATTATGCACAGGACTGCAAAGTGGGTTTGAACCTCAAGGTTCAAGTTCACCAGGCCCGCTCCTAGGTGTGAACTGACTCAGTGGCACTTAACAACAACTACTCCAATCCTAGACACTGTGTCCTTTGGCTGATTAGCCAAAACAGACCTCATAAAGCAACCCTCCAGAGATAGTGGTATTTGCCCGAGGCCTGCATGTTTATCCCTCTGGCAAAACCTGACTTCTAATCGAAGAGTCCCTGGTCAGGCCTTCCCTAACCCACTCCAGATGGAATCTGCTCCCTCTTTGAAGTTCCAAAGGAACCATGGTGATGCTATGGAATAAGCACTGGACTGCTAACCACAAGGTTAGCTGTTCAAACCCACTTTCTCCTCAGGAGAAAGATGAGGCTATATTCTCTCGTAAACACTCACAGTCTCAGACATCCCAGAGAGAGTTGTTACGAGTCACAACTCAACAGCACTTAGCGAGAAGGAGCCCTGGTGGTGGTGGGCTTAGTGTGAGTTTGCTAACTGCAAGGTCGGAGTTCCAACCCACTAGCTGCTCCACAAAAGAAAGATGAGGCTCCTGTTAAAGGTAGATAATCTTGGAACCTCTAAAGGGTAAATTCTATACTGTCCTATAGGGTCACTAGGAGCCAACAGAAGTGCATCTTCTTTCAATTTCTGCACTACTTATTCAAAGTAGTACTCTCATGTTATTAGGATCAGATCTGTATCCACTTCCAAGTGAGACTGTGAGCAAATCCAGGGTAAGGCTGTTCCTGGCCACCAGTGCCTGGCATTCCAGAGAAACACCATTCTTTGATAACTGAAGAAATCATGGAAAATGTCTAATTTGAGTGGAAAGATCAGGAATGAAACACCCAAATTAGAAAGCTGGATTAAATGTCCTGTTATTCGACTTTGATTCAGATCTGGCTAACAGTTCACCCCTATGGGAAAACCCACATACATGACTTGGACCAACTAAAAAGCACGTTTTCCTCTTCATGGCTCAAGAAAACTAGATTCCCTTCTTCATTCTTTACCTGACAAAGTAAGGAGGCTGCAAAAGGATCGTGGAAAATGGGAGTGAAAGAAAACGGAGTTTTCCCCCGAATATTTTGGAGTCCCCTGGTACACTTTCTATAAGAGCAAGCAGGAGGTATCGAATCTACCAAAATAATGGAAATCGATCGATAGGAATCCAGCTCCCCCATACTACGTCACAGGACATGCTAGAGAAAACGGCAACTCTGTCCTGGGACTAAAGCCAATTTCCACTAAAGACGATGGCCGCAAGAACAGCAAATCCTTAAAAAGTGAGGGCACTTCCGATAAACCGGGGTCACTACGGCTTCCTCCAGTTGAACCAACTCTGCTTTCTGCTCCTCTTCCTTCCCATCTCCGGGATTTTGAAAAAGAGAACATCGATACAATTCATTAAGGCCCAGGCCAGAGTTCACTTTAGCTCCTGGCAGATCCCACCACCTGGATGCAGAACCTTGAAGTATATCCTGACATTCCAGAATAAACACTACCTACAAGTCAAAAAGTCCTCGGCTTTCTTGGAACGTGGCCGAAAGCTTCCAGAAAAAAAAAAAAAAAAAAAAAGTGGTGTCTATTTCCTGGATCGTTATTTGCTTCGTGGACAAATGCTTCTGAACCAAGAGCCCTTTTCTTTCTTTCTTTGCAATTCCCACCTCGAAGATGGCAGATCGTTTTCCCACTCCCTTACAGAGAGGTCAGGGGCGAGAGCCTGCAACAGGCTGGGGCAGGGGGCTACGCTCTCGGCGATCCCCTCTGCAAGGGCACAAGCTCGGCTGGCAGGCGGCTGGGACGTCGCAGACACACACAAACCGAGCAAATCAACTCACCCCCACCGCTCCCCTCCCTGGAAAAAGCACACGGCGCCAAGATCCGCGCCCCAAACCAGCCAAGGGGACTAGCACCGGCGCCGGGAGGACGGGCTTCCTTCCCGGACGAGCTTTGCCCGGGCTGCGCCGGGCGCCGACTGCGCAGCCCACGTCCCCTCCGCCGGTGGTCTGATCGCCGACCGAGCCCGAACCTGCGGAGGTCGCGGTTCTGCCGGCAAGGGGCGCGCTGCCGCCCGGCGCGCGCCTCGTGCCCGCCGCACCTGAGGGAGCGAACGCGACCGGGCGGCGACGGGCAAAGTTACTCACTGGGAGTGCGCGGCTGCCTGGCGCCTCAGCCCCGCGCCGGCTCCGGCTCTCCGCGGCCCGCAGAAGAAGCGGGAAGCGCCACCGCAGCCGCCGCCTTCAGCCTCCAGGCTCCCGCAGCGGGTCTCCCGGCAAGCACCAAACTCCGGCCAAGACTTCACTTCAACCGCCCCTGCTGCCTTCCCGGGGGCGAGCGCCGGAGCCGAGCCGCCCATCCCGACACGCACCTGAGCCAATCCGAGGCTACGCAGGGCGTGGAAGGGGCGGGTCATGAAGCAGCTCTGCCTATCCGAGCGCGCCGGGGGCGGGGTGGAACGAGACCGTCACTCCCGGGTTTGAGTGAGCTCTCTGGCCGCCCTCCCTCCCCCACCGGTGCGGGCTGTCCCTGCAGCTCGCCTGATTTCCCCGCGGAAGACCCACTCGTGGAGGGTCCCCTAGCGCCTTGTGGATACCGAGGCCGCGGGGGAGGGATGGGAGTATAGGGTGTCTGGGAGGAGGCTAGGAAAACAGGTGGCGCAGAAATGAAGCAACGTAGGTGTGCTGGCAGAGGACACTTGAGGGGACAGGGAAGCAGGTGAATGGGAAGGAAGACTGGGTCATTGGCGAAGAACACCTGGAGGGACGGCAAGCGAAGAAGGAAGGCGGGCAACGGTTCCGGGTGATGACGGGTTGCCTGGGCGGAGACAGGGGCACCTGGGAACAAAGGTGAGCAGGAGGTTCCGCAGGTGAGGAGGTTTAAGGATCCAAAAGGAGAAGTGGGCAAAGAAGCCCAAATTGTAGAATCGGGAATGTAGTATCAGGGGAGAAAAGGTCGGGGAGACCCAGTTTTCTTGCAAACTCTCCTACTCCCTTCCTCTACCCCCCCCCCCAAAATAAAGGCAGATACTTGTCCTCTGGCCCACTTGAGATACGTTTCGCATCTTCAAGATCCCCGCCAAATACTGTCTGAAATCACTGTCATTTTGTTGTGAAATTCGTCCTTTTAGCACATTACCCGCCCCCTTTCTTAAAAGGTGTCTCGATAAACTTGACGCACTCTCTAGACCTCAATTCCCGCGAGTGCTCCTAGAGTCTTGCCAGGAAGACTACCAGAGGGGTGGGGGACCGAGCACCCAGATAGAAAGCGGCCTGGCTCCAAAGAGAAAGGTAATTCTGGGGCGGCAGGTAAGGCCCCACCCACTATGCCCACACCTGGCAGAAGAGGGTCAGGGCTGAACTTGGGCGTGCACAGGCCTGGAGAGGTGACTGGCGCTGGAGCCCACCTCTCCGCCCCTCGGGCTCGGCGGGTTGGCTACCCACCGAGCACCAGGTGAGCCGCGCTGGCCTCTGGAGCCGCCCTGCTCGAGCCGGGGGCGGGGTTAGGGCGGAGCCTCCACCGCCCCGCCCATCGGCCGGGCCCTGCCGCGCCGAAGCAGCTCCTCCTCTCTCCTTCCGTCCCCGCTCCTTCCGTCAGTCCTTCCTTCCTGTTTGCCTGCTTGCCTGCCTCCTTCGTTTGCACGTTTTGCGATATGATCCTGAGCCTCCGGTCCGCCAGCACCACCTGAGGGGCCCGGCACTTACCGTCGCGATGGAAGAGGACCAGGAGCTGGAGAGGTAACGGCCGAAGAGGCGGGTGGGAGAGCGGCTGCGCCCGAGCGTGAGGCCCTAGGGCCTCGGCCTCCGCGCCCGGCCCGCAGGATAGGCCTGCGCCGGGGCTCAGAGAAGAGAGGCAAGGGTTGAGGGCCGTGGAGGGCCGGGGTTGGAGCTAGATCTCTAGAAGGGAAGGCAAATTGCGAGACCAGAGGAAAATCCCCACCTGAGAGCCACCCAGACCAAACCCACTGCCGTGGAGTCGGTTCCGACTCATTGCGATCCTATAGGATAGAGTAGAACTGCCCTATAGGGTTTCCATGACTAAATCTTGATGGGATCAGACAGCCTCCTCTTTATTCTGCGGAGCGGTTGGTGGGTTCGAACTGCCGACCTTGTGTTTGGTTAGTAGTCCAACGCTTATTCTCCATGTTAACAGCAAGAGTAAATAAACCTAGCGGGTAAAATTTTTGCACGAGGCCACTGCTCCCTGAGTTAATGGTGTTGGAGTGTTTAGACAGATCCTGATCATGGCTAGCTCCCTAGCCTTGCTCTCTCTGTGCCAACTGTTAGTAAAACACACTTGAGTTCTCCCTCACTTGGGCTTTGCTCTTTCTGCACCCTCTGGAATCCATAGCTAGGTCCCTTGCATCCATGATATGTAGATCCAGCAGTGGCTTTCTCCCATACCCTTTCAGCTCCATCCTCCAGCAGGATGGAGTTGAAAGAGTTTGGGAGAACCCCTGTTCCACCCTATTCTAATCTCATCTCTTTCTCCAGAGTCTACCACGATAATACTTTTGCACACGTGCCCGCGTATGTCTTAAGATCTCCTTGTGGCCATACGGAGGGTCAAATGGAGTCCGAAACAACTGGAGATGATATTGAAACTTACTGATGGAATGAATTGGTGGAGACAGGAAAAGAAAGGGAGCAATAGTTGTCTGTGGTTAGAGTGGGTTCCAGTGGTAGTGTGTTGTCTTTGGGATGTAGAACGGGCGTGGGTGGGCAAGGTAGTTACAAAACTCCAGTGTGATCTCATTTTTATAAAAAAATGTGTGTGTAGAAAAATACATGGACGGAAGACCTCCATGGCGGAAGACGAGAGGAAGAGTGTTCTGGGGATGGTCCAGGCAGCGGGCACAGATCGACACTGTGTGACCTTCGTCTTGCACGAAGAGGACCATACCCTAGGAAATGCTCTGCGTTACATGATCATGAAGAATCCGGACGTGGAATTTTGTGGGTACACGACCACCCATCCTTTGGAGAACAAAATTAATTTGCGCATTCAGACGCGAGGTGGTCTTGCAGCTGTTGAACCTTTTCAAAGGGGCTTGAACGAGCTCATGAATGTCTGCCAGCATGCGCTTGACAAGTTTGAGGCCAGCATAAAGAACTATAAGGACCAAAAAGCCAGAAGTGAATCTGCATTCTAGCACCTTATACAGTGTAGAAAGAGGAGATTCTAGGATCTCTTCTTCAAGATCACACAGAACCCAGAAGCAAAGTTGTGTGATTAAAGTAATTCAGTCTGTAGGAAAAAGCATGCAATTGACCCAGGCTAGCTATGGAATTCCCTGCAACTAACTAACTCTTTTATTCTTGGAATAAATGCTCTCTTATTTCAAATGCTCTGAGTGGTTTCTGTTATTGGCAACCAAATGACACCAAGGGATGATTCTTATTTTTCCTTCTTTGAATTGAGCCAGTATTGAAAATGAGGAAAGTGTAAGAAATCAGGCTTAAGACAAAGTTTTGAATGGAGAATTTAAAAGGAATATGCACTCATGGCTGTAATGGGGGAAAGGAAGATACAATAGAATACGGCTCTAGACAGATTGGTTAATTTAAAAAAAAAAGGTATGGAAGGTAAAATGTTGGTTTCTTGCTAGATTTTTTTGTTTTTTGTTTTAAGTGAAAGAATCCTTCTTGCATTGGGTAAAGTTGGGGATAATTTGAAGGAATGCTGTGAATTCTGCTTGCTTTCCCACGAGAGATTTTTGTAGGATAAACATTGGACTGCAAACCACAAGGTCAGTGGTTCAAGCCTACTAGCCGTTTCATGGGACAAAGATGAGTCGGTCTGTTCACGTAAATATTCACTGCCTCGAAACCCTGTACAGGCTCGCTGTGAGTTGGGAACAACTCGATGGCACTTAAAAACATGAGAGATTTGCATGGTCTTGGGCTCCATCTTTCCTTTAACATTGCTAGGATAGTTTTCTGCTTGAATGTCAGGATACTAGTAAGAAATTTAGTCAGAAATTTGGAAATGAAGTGGATTCTGTTGTTGGTTGAATAATATGATAAACATACCTAATATCAATGAATTGTTCTTTGAGGATTGTTGAATGGCAAATGATTTGTTGCATATTTCCTATAATAAAAATAGTTAGGCCGAAAGATTCGAATCATAGGCAAAACATGAGATGGCCTTTTCATTCTCAGCTAGGTCTTTAGATAAAGCTCAGGTTTACATAGAAAAAAACTCTATTCAAGAGACAGGAAGGACAAGGCTAAGGAACATTCCAGGTGGGGGAAAAGTAACTTTTTAAAAACTTAAAAATCTTCGTGATTCCTGTCCAAGATCTATCTGTGCTACCATTCCAACATAGTTCTCATACCTGTCCCACCCCCACCCAACATGACTCTTCATTTCCCTTAAATCCACGTGTCCCCTTGGACACTCCACCCCTTTGGACTGTTTACATTGTTCCTGCTTTGTTTCCTGGAATACTTCCTTCTGATTCTGGGTCAGCACGCACACATCAAGATACCCCATGTTGGTTTGGGGACTTGGGAGCTTTGTGTTAGAATCTTGATGTTTCCTCGTCCTCATCTAGAGTGCTGTTGTCGGGCTGCCCACTGCTCTGTGTGTGAGCCCATCACCTGCCACGGTGACAGATACTGGCTGTGTTCTCACATCAGACCTCCGCCCTGAAAGTGACATTTCCCACAGCTTCTCTAAATGAAGATGGTGTCCTATTGAGCGCCTGGTGTTTGCTCGACCTTGGGGTCTTACTCATATATTAGGAATGACTTTTTTAAAAAATAAGTTTTCTGTGAAGTAAACTCCTATTGAGCGCCTGGTGTTTGCTCGACCTGGGGTCTTACTCATATATTAGGAATGACTTTTTTAAAAAATAAGTTTTCTGTGAAGTAAAAATAATTTTGTGAAAGAATTAAAGAAACGTGAAGAGACTGCTTTAGGGATGGAAGTTGGGGAAAATCTCTGGGGAGTGATATTAAAAAACCACAGGGTGAAGGGGGAGAGCAAAGGATTCTGGGTGAGTAGTGTTTACCGAGGTCCTAAGCAGAAAATGGGTGAGCTCAGACGCTGAGGGCATTGAGAGATCTCGTGTCTGTAAAATAGTAAGCAAAGAGGTGGTGGCCTATGTCATGGATTCCCTGAGTGGAGGAGCTGAATGATTAGGAGTCGGCTTTTAAGTACAGTGAGTGATTGAGTACAAGAATGGATTACAGGGTAGCTGGAACGGAAACCTAGAGAGGAAGTGGGTGGGACTGAGCGGTTTGATTGGTGGAATGTGAAGGATCAGAAAGATGGCATCTGCGGAGCTTTCAGGTCCAGTAGCTGAACTAGGGAAGCGTCAAGGGGGGAAAAATGTTGGAGGTGAAGAAGATGAGAGGAATCAACTGTTTTTGAGCACAGAATGCTCCAGGTATCCCCGTACAATTTGTCGGGCAGTCAGTGGAATACAAGAAGACTTCTAAAGGCACATGTAAACATTCAATTTACATTCCATTTTCCCACAAAGGCCCCTTGTGTGTGTTGATGATCATAGAAGAGATCTGGTGTAAAGGTAAAGTTTGTGATTTAGATCCATGAAAACAGGCAAGCCAAAAAGAAGTGCACCTGGACCTGAGCCCACGGTAAAGTGGACTCCGGGGTAGCAAGTGTGGAGAGTAGACTTGGGGCAGGAAGTGTTTGGAGAGTGGAAGCCCAGGCTTTTAAAGAGGGAGTGACATTAATGAGGTCACTGAGGACATCAGCTGAGAAGAAAAACCTGCTGGAGGTTCTGTGGTTCCTAAGAGTAAACAGACCAAAGTCCTTGAACAAAAGAGTGGTTTCTGGTTTGGGTTGGGCTTCCCAGTAAGGAAAACTCAGAGAACACTGGAGAGAGATAGCTTTAGGTTAGAGTAGATCAAACATGAAGCAAGGATTGGGACTATTGCCCTGGGTGACAGTCATGAATTCTGGAAACCAGTGCCAATTTAAGGGACTTTAATGCTCCTAAGATCGCACAGTCACCTGATCACCACACAGTGTCCTGGCTCCGTGAGAATTACTTAGGGTTAGGGAGCTTTGGTGGCATGGTGGGTTAAGTGATGGGCTCCGAACCACAGGGTTAAACAGTTCAAATTCACCAGCCCCTCCCAGGGAGAAAGATGACTCAGCCTTGGGAACCCTATACAGGGTCACTGTGGGTCAGAACCGACTCGACGGCACACCACCACCAGTGGGAGGTCAGAGGCTTGTGTTTCAGGATCCCACCAACAGAACTAAACAGCTTCCCCAAATCCAGACCCTTGCTATTCCAGCTGTTAAACTTCATCAACTTCCCTGATACCGTTACTGGGTGGGACTGTGCTTGTTTGTCTGTTTATTTCCCCCAAAGAGATTCCTCCCCTAGAAATCCTCTATGGGTAGATTTACCGTTGTTTAAAGCTACCGGGCAGTTGTGTCTCTAGTAGCTGCCCTGTGGGAATTAGTGGTGCATGCTGTGAGTGCAGTCAGCTGCCAACTGAAAGGCTAGCAGTTGGAGTCCACTCAGAAGTACCTTGGAAGAAAGCCCTGCCAATCTCCTTCTGTAAAACCAGCCAGTGAAAGCCCAGTGGTGCACAGATCTACCCTGACCCACGTGGGCTCTCCAGGAGTCGGAATCAACTCCATGGCACCTGGTTGGATATTGTTTTATCCTACAAGGTCCTGCTTACTGTGGTTGTGGAGAGGAGGGGGCAGGTAAGAGCTGCCCCAATGAAATGAGAAGCTAACAATGAGGCGCCCTACGGCACACTGCCGAGCAGGTGGGGGTCCCTGCTTTAGCGCCCGCTCTGTGCCAGCCTCTGCTTAGTACAGGAGACAGAAAGCAAGATAGATGGACCCAAAGTCTGTCTCCCACTAGAGTATTGAACTGGGCCCCAAACTCACTTCCACCGACTGAAGTCCTGGTGTGGCGCTGTAACATAAGCACCGGGCTGTTAACCACAAGTGGGCAGTTCAAACCCACCAGCTACTTCTTGGAAAGCCTAGACAGGGTTGCTGTGATTCAAAACCTACTCGATGACCCTTAACAACAATTACAGCTGCCACCGAGTTGATTCCAACTCGGCCACCAGACACAGGGTTTCTGAGACGGAAACTCTTGATAGGACAGACAGCCTCACGGGCCAGCGCTGGATTCACAGCAGCACCAGGACTCCACTGAAGTGGGTGGTTGTTATTAAGTGCCATCGCATCAGTTCCGGCTCATAGCAACCCTATATAGGGTTTCCAGGAAGCGACTGGTGAGCTTGAACCGCCAACCTTGAAGTTCAAACTGACTTTGCAGTCCAGCGCATTAACCCACAGCGCCACACCAAGAGTCTGTTGAAGTGGGTTTTGTTGTTGTAAGTACCATGGAATCGGTTCTGTTTCATAGCGACCCTACACAGGGTTTCCGTAGCTATAAATCTTTATGGAAGCAGAAAGCCTCAACTTTCTCCTGTGGAATAGCTGGTAGTTTCGAACTGCTAACCTTGAGGTTAGAAGCCTGATTCGTAACCAGTACGCTACCAGAGCTCCTTGTTGAAGTGGGTAGACCTGTGAAATAAATACAGGGTTCTTTCCCCACTCACAAGTGTCCTTGTTGGTGTTAAGTACTGTCGAGTTAGTTCCAACTCAGCCACCCTGGATAGGGTTTCCGAGGCTGTGAATCTCTTTAGGGGCAGACAGTCTCGTCTTTCACCTGTGGAGCAGCTGGTGGGCTCCAACCAGTGACCTTGTGGTTAGCAACCCAGAGTTTATCTTACCAGAGTTACAGCAAGTATTTGCTTTGGGCGCCTTGGCCGTGTGCACACTGGATTTGTGGAAGGCAGTGTTGGAACACAGCTGAGAGTTAGGGGGCATTTATAGTAGTTCTAGGTGTGATTTAAGGAGGCCCACTTGTACAAGGAGGCTGCGTAAAGTTTGTGGACAAATGGAATGTAAAGATACTGGTAGATTCCTACACACCTTTTGAAGCCGCCTCGTGAATGCCAAACGTTGCTATTGGAAGATGAGAGAAGGGTTGATAGGTCCCCAGCTTTCTTGGGGTCCCCATGTTGTGATGTATTGTCAAGTTGGTTCTGACTCAGCACCACACCAGGGTGGAAGATTAGCTGTCTGCTAAAGCCTTTACTATCAAGAAAGAAATTTTCAAATAGCATACCTGTTCCT